CAGGCCCCAATAACCCCACGGAAGCGTGTGGGTCCTGGCCCCTGAACTACCCGATCCTTGCCAGAACATCAGCCTCGGGCTGGGCGTGCTTGTAACTCTCTACCTGCTCTGATGGCATTGCCATTAAACTGTGAGAGTTCCAATATTCACTTCCTTTCTGGAGTGATGAAGAGCTTTGTAAATAAAACTGCATGAACGGCTTAAGTTCAGGCCAGGGCGGCTTATTTTATATTGTATTTTTGTCTTTTTAATTTAATGTTATATTTATTGTAATTTATATTATAATTACTTTTAATTTATTGTTGTAAGCCGCCCCGAGGCTTCGGCGAATGGGGTGGCATAAAAATGTTTAAATAAATAAATAAATAAATAAATAAATAAATAAATAAATAAATGTTTTCTGTAAACTTAACACCGATAAGCAAATACGCAAAGGACAGCAATGCAGTCCCGGGCCCAAGGTAAGCACCTCTTTCCCTACCAAAATATATTATTTAAGCCGCTGCTTTCCCTATCCCCTTGTCAGGTCCGGCCAGTATCTCCCCAGCATGCCACGTGCCCAGACTGCAAGCAACATAATGGGGAAATTTCTCTGTGGGCCGGAGTCAGGTACAACTTTCTGCAGAACTAGCAAAATCTAGCAGTAGACAGAGCAGAACTAGCTGCTGCCTGAAATAGCCAGGAGCTGGTCCTAAAAACCTCACATCAGCCACCCTGCTGGCTTTCCAAGTGTACTCCCTTTGATCTGCTTGCTTTGCCGAGTTTCCATTTGTCTTTGCCTTAAACTGAAGATACACTTCAGTATTCAGCAAAGGCACCTAAAACACTATTTGCTTTGTTAAGTCACAGTGATTAAGAGGAGGTGTTCTCGGAAGGCACCTTTTAAGTTTCACCTCAAGGAGGAGCCAGCTAGGCCAGGCTTCCTGCCCTGGTGCAGTCCAGATGTTTGGGATTTCAACTCCCATCATCCTCAGACCCTTGGCTGGGGAATGCTGAGAGTTGTCATGCAGAACATCTGGAGTGGATTGGGAAATGCTGCACTGGATAAATGCAATGCTTCAGAGCATTTTTCCCATCCTGATGGTCACCAGATGTATTGCCTTGCAACTTGGATCATTCCTATCCAGTAGCAGAAGAGAGAGCTACAAATTGCAAGAAAAAGATGAGAACTGCTGTCTAACACACCAGGAAGGATGATGAAAAGTGTTAAATGACCTCATGCACAGAGTAATGATTATTAATAATAATTGTAATGGTAATTTAATTTAATTTATGATAGTAATATTATCGTAATAATGTTGTTATTATTATTATTTGGCATGGATGCTTTAGAATATACAAGAGGGCAGTCCCTCCCCAAAAGAATTTAACAGTGTAAAATAGGATACTGGAAACAAACAAGGAAAAAGTGGGAAGTGAAGGCAGAATTAAACCTGCAACTGATTTGGGACTGGCATCTGCCAGGGTTCCCGCAGAGATCGCTGGACCTGATCCCAGGAGGGATGAGGGAAGAAGAAGGAAAGGCAAGCCCCAACCCATGCCTTCTCTCCGCCTGTCTCTGAATCACAGCAACGTACTGGATTCCTGCAGAGGGAACTGCTGAGCCTGAAACTGATTCACAGCTAAGAGTAAAAAAAAAGTTGTTCTTTTACTATGAATCGTTTTGAGGATGCCTCGTCATTTTTATACAAATAGATCAGACGAAGGTGCTTATAGCAGGGATGACAAACGGGTGTCCCCCACCCACTGCGGCAACCCCTCTCTCCCTCTTATTGGCTTTGCCAGCTCACTGATGGGACTTGTAGTTTAGCAACATCTGGGTGGCCCACCCTTCCCTCTGCTCCTGGCTTGCAGGATCCCACCCACAAGAACCCTTCTCACCAACACGCATGCACACACCCTCCCCACTCCAAGAGGCGCAAGAGGTGAACAGGCAGGGCCCCTTCGCCGCGATCGTCAGAGCGAAAACGATGAACTCGCTGGACAGGCGGTGCTGGCATATTGTCAGGGTGGGCGCCGCGTTTCCGAGGCATGGCTCTCTGGGTGGACGCCCCCCTCAGTGGGGTGACCTCACCTCTCACCCCTCCTCCTCCTCCCACTCGCTTGACCGCAGAGAGCCACGTGGCAAGCTGGTTGCGGCCACGCATGGCCCCTCCTCACCATCATCAAGGACTGGGGCAGAGTGAGAGGGAGGGAAGCAAGAGGGTTACAATGGGGAGCCGTGGGTCCAGGGGACTTTTAGCAGCGAGCCCTGTGGCAGTGGGGCCCTCAGCAGGCGACAGACCACGCCAGGCCTGACCCCAGCCCTGCGCTTCGGACACAAACAGGATGGTCCAATTCTCGCGCCTGACCCCTTCCCCTTCTGAAGCAGCCTCACGGTGCTTCGTATCCAACAGTCCTGCAATATCATAATGATTAACTGTAGGTAGGTACCTACAAAGAGTGGCCATATGTCCTCCTTGACAGTGGACAATCCTCCATTTCAGCCACGGGCAAGAGGAAGCTAGCACATCAGAATGCCTCTCTTAAGACGCGTTACCAACAGCTGGCCTGCCCCAAAAGAGGCTTCGACGAGCGCCGTCAACTTCAGGTTCAAAGAAGCAGTTCATTGCACTGGAGCTCAGCCCCCAGCTGACTTGTCCTCAAAGTCTTTCTGGCAGGTCGCTCGCCCTTTGCCACGGCTCCCTGGCAGCCATTTTGTGGTAGTGCCCGTGGCAGTTTCTCTGATTGGCAAATGAGCCCTGACCCAATTAGGTTGTCTATCCTTGCGGTGTCCACACGGAGTCCAGGTTAAAGAAAAAGAACCACAAAAAGTGTAAGCAGTGGCTGGCTGCGAAAAGGGCTCGTTTCTGGGCAGCAGGCCAAGCGGCAGAGATGGATAGAGGGGCAGGATGTTGGTCTGTCACCCAACATCCTCATGCAGGATGGCCTGGACCTCTGAGGCCTCCCTCCCTCTTTCAAGGGTGGGAACTGGAGGAGGTTTCTGCTCATGTTCACACGGATAGGAATAGAATCCTAGAATAGTAGAGTTGAAAGGGGCCAGGAAGGCCATCGAGTCCAACCTCCTGCTGTTGCAAGACACCAATTTACACCATCCCACTCAGAGGGCTGCCCAGTTTCACACTGAATGTCTCCAGCGTGGGAGCGCCCACCACCTCTCCAGGCAGCTGGTTCCACTGCCCCATTGCTCTGACAGTGAGGAAGCTTTTCCTGGTGTCCAGCCTCAATCTGGGTTGTCACAACTTGAACTGAGATCTTGACCTTCCTCTTTGTAGGAACAGACGCGTGGCCATGGTGTCTGCCTAATCAGGGTTTCCAATTGCACGAAGGGTGATGTGTCGTGATTAAGAGCAAGGGACTGGGACTCAGGAGATCCAGGTTCTAGCCCCGACTCCATGACCCATGGAGCCAACCAGGTGACTTCATGCCGGTCACAGACTCTCAGCCCAAGCTACCTCACAGGGCTGTTGTTGGGGGGATAACATTGGCAGCAGGGGGAGTAGAAAGATGCAAGCCAGCCTGAGTTCCTTGTAAGAAATAAGCAGGATATAAGTCTAATAAACAAACTGATACAAGGAAAAGCCTTCTCGAGAAGCATCTCCCTCCCCGGTCAATAAAGCGAGGACTCTTAGGGTGCAGAGAGGGATGCTGAAGGCATGTGTTCCTGAACCTAATTCAGCCTGTCTGTCCTACATTCCCCACCATTCACTGAAGGAAGCCCAGGTTTTGACACGGAGAGAGAGAGGGAGCCTTTATCCACCTGCTCCACAACCTCCATCCTATCATGCTTTGTATTACTCCACAGCAGAGGGAGGCAACCTTGGTCTGCAGGCCATATGGGGCCTTTGGCCTTATTTCACAGGCCCTCCGACTCACAAAATATCTCTGCATGTGGTCAGTTCAGACAGCCCATGAGGCAAGAAGGAAGAGGGAAGGGAGAGGGGAGGAGAGGAGAGGCAGAAAAAGAAAGCAGGTGATCCATCCACCTTTGGCTTGGGCCATGTTCCCTGCCACTCTGAACTGAACAGCCCCAAGTGCTGCAACTTTTCCTTGTAGGGGAGCTGCCCCCACCCCCAGTCCTCCCCATACGGGACTGAAACTGCAGAGAACCTGCTGTCCTTTGCAGGTTGGAGCGCCTGCTTCCTCTGCAGCTTCTCTGGTGAGGTAGTGGAGCCGACATCCCCCGAGCCACAGCCCTGGGATTTCTCAAATAGCAGGGACTGTGACATCATCTGCCACCCCCTCAGATTTCCTTTCCCCTCTGAGCTTAGCAGCAGTCCTGACTATTGCTGGAGGGGACTGCATTTCCCCAGTAACAACAGACTGTCCCTTCTTGCAATGCAAAGTATTTGAATGGACAACGAAGACCTATCAGTTTGCCAAACACCTATGAAATGCAGAGGGGTGCAGGATCACTGCAGATGGATCCCAGATTCTCCTTAGCAGCATGGATTCAAGCCTGAACAATGAACACTGAACTGCTTGAGCAGGTCCTGGAAGTCATATGTGTTTTAAAATTGGTTTTAATTTTTTGTACCATAACCTTTTTATGATGTTCTTAATGCTGATTGTATGTTACACTGTACTTTTGCATGCTGTTCTAAACTGCCCAGAGAGCTTCACCTATCAGGTGGTATAAAATAAATAAATAACCAATAATAATAATAATTATAATACATCACTGTGTTTTTGCCTCTAACCTCTCCCCCACTCCTGCTATCCTCTTATGAATCCACAAAAATCCAACTGCCAGCATCAGGTCTCTAATATACACTTTGTACTACCTGAGAAACTGGATTTTGCGAAAGGGCAGCCAAATGTACCCTCCAGTCGCTTGAAGCGGATGCTGCAGCCAGGTGAAGCTTCTGCACCTGTGCTGCTCTTCCGTTGCCTCCAGAAGCCGCAGAAGTCCCCCACCGGCTGCCATGTGGCACAATCCACAGGAGGACCAAGAATAAACCTGCCAGGGAATGGTGGGGAGGATATGTTCTTCCTCTTACCTTCAGTAAAGCTGCCTGAGAGCGTTACTGCCACAAACACTTTTCCTTCTGGTTCCAGGTCCACCTGCAGGAGAAGGAGAATTGGTGGAAAAGATGGTCAAATTCAGCCTGCTTTTGCCCTGCTTCCCTGACATTCATTCATTCATTCATTCATTCATTCATTCAAAACTTTTGTATACTGTTCCATCACAGACGTCTCAGGGAGGGTTCACAATAACAGCAATAAAATAAGATAAAAAATGCAAGTAGCACAACATCCAATATTAAATATAAAACCACAGATTAAGATAAATCAGCAATTGGAGGAGTGAAGAACCACCTACTGACGAACTGATTTTAAAAAAGGTCTTGGACTGTGCCGAAATGGACAGATTGACTTTGTCTCTGAAGGATACAGACTTCTATCAAACTTGGAATTCTTTTTATTATTGACTAGAGAAACGGGACTATGCATAGACTTAAATATGTTTATGGATTACCATAAAAAAAAGTATGGGGGCTGACCCAGCAGGTCTGATGTTTCTGATGATTGATGATTTTTAGTTTCTTTTTGTTAGTTAGTAGAAAAAACGATAATAAAACTTACTTTGAAAAAAAAGATAAATTAGCAATTGACACAGAGAGAAAATAAAAGTTTTCACCTGGGGCCAAAAGGAAAGAAGCATTGGCACCAAGCAAACCTCTCTGGGGAGCATGTTCCACAGTCGGGGCGTCACCACAGAGAAGGCCCTCCTCCGGGCAGCCATCCTCCTAATCTCCTTCAAGGAGGGCTCCCGGAGTAGGGCCTCTGCCCCAGATCTCAAGGGGTGGGAGGGCACATAGGGAAGAAGGCGCTCCTTTGGGTATCCAGGATCCAAGCCATTAACAGTTCTCAAATTGTCTCTGGGCTAAGGATCAACAAGAGTCAGATAGTTAGACTTGGACATGAGCTCAGGAGTTGACCCCTTTATAAAGCTTCAAGCTGCATCTCTATCCCTTGAGACACACACACACACACACACACACAGAGGGAGGGAGGGAGGGAGGGAGGGAGGGAGCACTCATCTAGCCAGTTTCTAGTGCTGGGTTAGAATCCCTGACCAATAGCAAATCAAATGGAGAATGCAGATCATCTCAAGTTGAGTTGGCAGGCATGTCATGAGCGGAGCAAGCTGGAGCTGGGGTCAGACTAGGTGGCCTGGGAGACCACTTCTGCCTTGCTCGGTTTCTCTGTTTCTAAATTACAGCTCATGGCCCCCAGCTGTCTTTTCGTGATACTTGGTGGGGGCAGGTGCAAGGCTGCACCTTGCTGCCTCAGGTGATGGACACATCGAGGTGCACATCTGAGGGCCAACTGGAGGGGTACCTGAACCTTGATTCCTCGCTAGCGATGGGACAGCACCTTTGACTGCTCCTCAGGACAGCTGGCTAGTGGGGGGAGAAGGCGGCAGGCCATGGGTCACACCCCGCTCTGCTCGCTCCTCAGCAGCAGACGGACAAAAATGGAGACCTGGAGCCGCTTGCACCTGGAGAACGGGGCTGCCCGTGGCCCATTCGAGAATTAAAGTGACATGACTCGGGAGAGGGATTTCTGGTTTCTGCCTTAGAAACCCCTTGGCATGTCGAGGCCAAAGATGTGCCTTTTAGGCAAATCCCATGCATCGCAGGTGCATTTTGGGCAAATTGTGTTATTGTGAGCCATCCCGAGGCTGTGTAGCAATGGGGACGGCATATAAAAACTTTAACTAAATAAATAAATTCCTCTGCCTTTAAAAAAATGCAATCTGCTGCCTTCTTGTGAAGTGGAAGGGCCGCATGCTGGTTCCACTCGTGTCCCAGCAAGGCAGCGCTACTGCTGGGTAGACGGGCTGGAATCTAGGAGGGTCAATCCAGGTCAGGTTTTGACCCCCCCCCCCCCCTGGATTCCTTGCACCTCCCCCCCAGGGCAACTGATTCACTCTGCATCATGGCTGCCTGTTTACAGACCTTGAAATCGGAGAAAAAACCCGAGTAGACACAGCAAGCCCAATTGTCTGCTCATCTGTGCTCGGAAAAAATACATTATTTTCCTCAGAGGCTGCATTTTCGGTACACTTTGGCCAAAACAGAGGTCAGTAGTCCAGGAATATTTTGGTTTAGGGTTCCTTTTATAGCTCTCCTGTTAAGTTTTGCTGAAGTTCAAGTCATCCCGTCACATGCTATCTATAAAAAGCTCCCTGGGTTTTTTTTTAAAGTTACAGCCACTAAATGTAAACATGAATCTCACACCACGTGTTGTATTTGCAACAGTTGAACATATTCGGAAAACAGAGTTCTCTGGAGGGATGACTCAGCGGCTTCCAACAGCCTTCCCTGGTGCCTGAACTTGCAGCCGGACCAAAAATAAGCAGTTTGTTTTAATAGGAAGCCAGGAGGAGGAAGACAGAAAGGGGGACCCATTGCAATTTGCACAGTGGGTCCGAAACTGGGCATGGAGGGAACCATACTGTAGAAAAACTCCATTTGATCTTGAATGTGCACAAAGCTCAGGGACAGCGCCTTGAATATAGGTCCCAGGTTCAAAGCCATAAGAACATAGGAAAAGCCATGCTGGATCCATGGGTTCATCTAGTCCAACAGACGACGGCCAACCAGCTGCCCACAGGATCCCTCCAGCAGGATGGGTGCAAGGCCTCCTCCGGCCCAAGCTCCCCAGCAGCTGGTGTGTGCAGTTGGGCCACCGCTGGTGAAGGAGGTAGCCCAGAGTCAGCAAGGTTAGTAGCCACGGAGAGCCCCCTCCCTCAGAATCTGGCCCATTCCCTTTTAAAGCCATCCAGACTGGTGGCCATCACCACTCCCCACGGTAGCAAATTCCATAGGTCAAGAACAGCTCTTGTGTCACACCTCAGAGAGCTGTTATCACTCAGAGTTGACATGACCAGGCAAGAAGGACCAAGGGAGTGACTCTTTGGGAAGTGGATTCGGTTTAGAAGTGCTGGTTTCACAGGAGATAAGTCAATATCCAGCTGATAAAACAACAGCAACCAATTCCCACTCCACCCACAGATAAGAAAATCAATCAATCCTAAAAGCAGAAAGTAAGGATAACTCTCCACTAAACACAATGGGATTTAAACTACTAGGTAAGCAGGCCTAGGAGTGCTCTGTTTATTTAAGACCTAGAAAGTCAACTCGCAGAGGTACAGATCACAACCGAGAGCTTTCCCTTCTTCCAGATATAATTGTTTCTTGTAATACTTTTTCTTTAATTTACTATTTTGTCTTGCCTATTACAAAGGAAAAAATAAAATCTATTCACATCTCAAAGATGTCCTGACAACCCATGTTGTCCTCTGGCCCACAAGTCATGAAAATATACCTCTTCAGATGTCAGCTAAACCATCGTGCAGGGCAGAAGGAAGTCACACCATGGAACGTGTGGCACGAATGTGTTCCCTGAACGCACAAGATTGTCCCACAGGGTGTGGGTATTTGCTGAGATGGGGCAGGATGGTTACGGTAAAGAAATCAACTCTTTATAAAGAAGAGAGGCCTTCGAGATATTTTATGATCCCAAGGCTCTGGAGGCCTGACAAGCACAAATTCTCTGTCTTCCTATGAACACACCCTAAATGTCTCGCGAAGACTACAGCATATGTATTTCCCTTAGCTCTCACCTCACGTCTGTCTCTAGACCATACGCTTTAAAAGTCAGAAAAAGAGAGAAACCCCTTACACATTTTGTGCCCCTGACTGAAAGTCAGGCTTCAATTTGCCTCATTAAAAATGAGTGGGACTTTGCCAGATTGACGCATAGGCTAAAACCGTACCCCGTGCTGTCTTAAGCCGCATCCAGGGCTCTGAGCCCTGGACTCTGGGACAGGCTGGGTGTCGCAAGTGGATGTACTCATGCGGACCCCCGAGATGCTCCTCTCCTGTGCTCATTTGCCAACCTCTTGTTGTGACCCAGACAGCACCGGTCCAGGGGGATCTCACCTGGCCAGCAGGTAAGCGGTGGCAAGGATGAAGAATGGAGAGGAGGTGCTTGTGACAGCAGCACTGAGAATGCAGGCTCACCGGGTGGGGGGCACAGGGGGTCTCGCCCAAGGGCCCTCCAAACCCTGGCACTGACACAGTCACCCAGCAGGTTGCCCCACAGATACTTCGGACTACAGTTCTCATCAGCCCCAGCCAACATGGCCACATGGTTAGGATTGTGGAAGCTGTAGTCCAAAACATCTGTGCTCTGAGCTACCAACCCTTTCTCTAGACAAAATATGCGCCAAAATAATCCAAACCTTGATGAGTTATACTACATCCTTGTATAAATTATGGCTGTTTAAATTACAGACAAGGATTCCTGCCCCTGGCCATTGCAAAGATTAATCAGAGACTTTTGGCATGTTTTTCTCCCAGACCTGCCCCCAAGCCTATCTTACTCCGAATGAGGCCTAGAAACTTGTTTTTGTTTTTTAAAAGCTGAGCTCCGCAGGAACAGAATTCAGGCACTGTGTATTCCACAGCTCTCCTGCACCCTTTCAAAAACCCTGACCTCATGAAGAAACACATCTCCTCTGTGTAAACAAAACCCAGAAGTGAGATGGTATGGGAGGAAGGGGTATGGGGAACGCGCTCTTGTTTCTCGCCTCTTTTGTAGGTCCTGCTGACACAGGGCTTTCCCCAGCCTTGGTGCTGGAGGCCTCTTACCCAGCGATGCCAAGAAATGAACCGCACGCCAATAATAAAGGCAGCATGACCCGGCAGCCCTTTATGAATTGCACAGTGGCGACGCCAAGCCAAAGTTGCTGCCTCCTTCAGCCGCCTGAAAACGCAGCACCAGCCGCCAGCCCTCTGCTCTAGTGCTGCTAAAATGCAGTGGAGAAATGGGACCAGCCAGTTCCCCCGGCCGACAACACGGGCGTAGAACCCCAGTCCCGGCGTCCGAAGACAGCCCACCGGGGTCTGCATGACGGGATTTCCCATGGCCTTTCCCACAGCCCCACTCCCAAATGCCGACAGCCTGGCAGCTGCCCACAGTTTGCCTGCACTCTAAAGGAGAAAAACGCCTCTCCGAGGCCTTCGCTCTCAGCAGCTTTAGGCTTCCAC